AAGTTTGATTAAACAACCAAATTTCCATCCTTAAGTTTGCAGTCTAACAATAAAATGTACATTCAATTATAATGTAATGGATAAATGTTGATAAAATATATAAAAATGCTACAAGTACCCAACAAAATCATAAGTAAATACTTTTAGTAGAAATGAAATGAAAAATAATTCTAGGTTAATGCAACTAACTTTATTGAGAGAATCAAAAAACCTCTCATAGGAAAGATAGCACTTGAGCAGTCTTAAAGGAAGTGAAGAAAAATATATCAATGCAGTTTTTGCAAAATACTAATAATTTTCAATTTATTTTGGGATTTTTTTTCTTTGAAATTGACTTTAGAATTAGATTTTTCTCTTGAATTGTCCACATGACGGCATGAATCTGTGAGTGTAAAATAAATCTTATTTTTTAAAAAACAACCAGGAATAATTTTTAATTGAGTCAGAATACTTTTAGTTATTGAGCTGGTTAATAACCTTTTTAAGGAGTTACTTATAATACAAAATTTGTTAATTTGCCCAATTACACTTACTGGACTCTTACTCTGTCTGGTGCCACTTTAGCTGCTGGGAACTGAATAAGAAAATTAAAAATAAAAATCTTTGCATCACTTGCTAAGAGAAGACAGAAATATAAACAAACACATTTGGTACGGTACCATAAGAAAGACGTTCAGAGTTCACACCAAGCAACAACAAAAAAAGGTAAATTTTATGTAATGACACAAGAAGGGTTTATAAAGGAGGTGGAAGATATGTCTTGAAAGATAATCAGGTGCTCCCAAGGTGGCCAAGTAGAAGCACTGTGTTCCTGACACATGGAACATAGAGGCATGATTTCTCAGTTCATAGTTAGGGTAAGTAGATTGGATGCAAAGACTGGGTAGGTGCGAGGGCAGGGAATGGGGTTAATTCTAGCATCGGCCAAACCACAGAAAGGCCTTGTTCATTATGCTAAATTATTTGTACTTTATCTTATAAAAGTTGGAGAGCCACTAAGAATTTTTACAAGCAAAACTAATTCTGTGCAAGGGCCAGAGGTGGGGAAACTTTTCATGTTGGAAGGCCACATTAATTTATCTGTAATCAAATAAGACAGTATTCAAGAAACTTCAATTAGATATACTTAAAAATGTATATTATTTTATAAAAATATAATTACTATGTACTTAATAATTTCAACAAATGAAAACTATTTGTTGATTTTAAAGTTAACTAACCTTTTAATGACTTTCTTGAGTCTGCTTTTTGTTGGAAAGCATTTGAATATTTGGTGGCAGCATGGAGGTCTGCAATTTTAGTTGATCCTCTAGATGGGTATCAGTCATTTGTAATCGTAAATGGCAGCTTGATTTGGGTTAGGTGGAGAATGTAGATTCACAGCAATAAGTGTTTGAAAAGCCAGAAAGCATTTTCAGGCATGTTGCCGAAGGTGTGGATTTTCTACTGCATTTTTCCATATTTCTATTGGATCTTTCTTAGCATCAAACAATGACTTTAAAATGTCATCTACTGGGAGCTCAATAAATTCCATCTGTAGTTCTTTAGGTGCCTTGATGGTATCAACTAGGTGAGACTGAAATGCTAATTTGAGTGTGATATCATGATTCTCAAAGTCAGTGAACCTTTCATTGTATTCTCCAATTAATAGGTCTATAATAGCTGCATATTCTTCAAATAATTCACATATATCATCCTGCTCATCAATGGCCTTTGCTAACTGGGGAAAACGTTCATCTGAAATTTCCTTTTGAAGAAGTGTTTTGAAAAGAGATAGCTTTTTTCAAAATGCTTGGATTTTTTTTGCCACATATCATATATAGACTTAGTTTTACCTTGCAAAGAAATAGTCAAATCATTTTGATTTGACATGGTATCACAGAAATTCTGCATTCCTATAGAAATCTTCTTCCAATAATTCACATTGCTGATTCTGTTCTTCATAAAATTTAACTATCTGTACTCACAGAGATAAAATTTTGGCTAACAGGTGTCCCTGCGATAGCCAGCACACTTTAGAATGATAGGGCAAATCCACACTGAATATCTCATCATTAACTTTAGCATAGTCTGAAACTGATGATGCTGTGTTGCGTTTGCAAGAATATAGTTAACAATACTTATAACTTGCTGCAAAGTGTCACTTAAAATAGTACCTTTAGCACAGAGATTTTGCTGATGCAAGACAGAAGGAAAAAAATGAGAGCATCTGGATCTGTTAATACGTTTTAAATCTGTGCAATAAACTCTTCACGTTTTGCTGTCATGGGAGGTGCACAGTCTGTACATACACTCACTAAATTGACCAAATTCAGTCCAACTTCACACCATGTTTATCTTGAAAGTTGTTGAAGATATCTATTCTTCGTGTTCTGTTCGCCAGAGTGCCCAAAGTGAGTAATAACTCTTCATAGCAAAGAAAAGCTTCTGTTATGACCCGAATGAAGTATAAAATCTGTGCCGAGTCGGTAGTGTCAGTTGATTCATACAAAGCAATTGAATAATATATATTTTCCTTTTGAAGTATTGCATGAAGTTGTTCTGTTAAGTTGAAGGCTCATTCATGCTGCCAATCAGTTATGATTCTCCTTGAAAGAGGCAGTTGTTTGTACTTTGAAACATTACCAGGGTCTAAGCATCCTCCAACTTTGACAATGCACTCTTTCACAATTTCTACATCATTGAATGGCTTCCTTCCCCCCCTACCCCACCTCCCGACCCGGAGTACATAAGTTACTTTGTAAGTTGCTACAGGGGCATTATTTCCAGGTCTTATTGCTGTTTGAAAGAATTGTCTTTGCTTTTCATCTTTTAATTTCTGCAAGACAACTTTTTGCACCTCTCTCTCTAATTTAAAATATTTGTGGTCCTTATGAGTGTTATAATGCTGCTGAGCATTTAATTTCTTTAATGTTGATATTGCAGTATCACGAAGCAAGCAAATCATCTTATCTTTAGCAGAAACAAGACAATATTGTAATTCCCAATCCTCATTAAAAAATATGTTTTCTTCCTTCAGCATTCTCTTGGTCTTTTTGTCATGATGGGCTGTTAAGCAGACAGAATTAAAAAATACTGTCGAGCTATGCAACTATTCACAAATTCCACTTCAAACAGAAACACAGTGCACCCTTGTCAAAAGCTGATAACAGAGTGATGCACTTGACCCCATAAACTCTCACCAACCAGCCTCAAGTGGTAGTGGCACCAGTCAGGTGGGGAAAGTTAGAACTAA